AAAAATATGAACAAAGCCCTCGTCCGTCTCCAGCGGATTCCGTGGATTGATGTCGGCGGCTCGTGGCGGACACGCTCAAAATGTGGTTGCTGTTTTGCCTCAGAGGTTTTCCATTTTATGTTCCTTTTTGCCAACGCCCGTCGTTTGTTAGTTTCCGCAATCGACACTTTCGGTCGGCGCCCACCTCCTCCTCCTCCTCTTCCATTTCCTCCTCCTCCTGATCTTATTCCTCTTCGTCTTCCTCTTCATTGTCTTCCTTTCTCTCCGCACTCGATGCGCTGCCGCTACGCCCAGTTTGATGGCGCAGACAAAGAAAATAATGCGGAAGAGCAGCGAGAAAAAATGACGCCGAAAATGTGGAAATCATGGACATGGTCCCCATCAATGAAATCATCATCACGAAACCTGTTGGTCACTCAAGCGGTATCCAGCTTGCTTTCTCATGCAAGCCAGTTATTGAAACGATTTATTTTGTTATTGTAATGGCTGGGCTCGATTATTGAATCATCTTCTTTATTGCTGAAACGGGTTGGTTAGGTTGCTAAAAACAACTTCCTCTCGTAATGAAATTAGCAAAATGATTGAAACCGTTCCTTTGATAATGAAACGGGTGGGCCAAATTGAAACAAACTATTGAAACAATTTCTTTGTTATTGAAACGGGTGGGCCTGGTTACTGGAACAATTTTCGCTGTTGCTGGAACAACTTTCGTTGATGCTGGAACGGGAAGACCCGGTTACTGAAACACTTGTCTTCGTTACTGAAACGGTCCCCGGTGTTAAGCGCTTGCTTCTTACTGAAACGGCTGCTCTTCCGTGCAAGGGCGCAACGGAGACGATCCGGGAACTTGTCGTGAACCGGAGCCAGATGGAAACGGAGCCTCGAGAGAAGACGACCAGCTCCGCGCTTGGCCGAATGCGGGTTTCTCCCCAATCAGAAGAGCATGCAGAAGCAAAGAAGAAATGGAATGCCGACACGAGAGGGGCTGCCCATGAGAGGGTCTTCTTCGCCCCTGGGCGGTCGCGAGCTGGGCGGTCGCGAGCTGTGGGGACAAAAAGCTTCCCTGCCTGCTCCGAGCAGGGTCCGCAGAGCGTGGAGGTCACGGACAAGGCGCTCGGCGCGATATGTGTGCCGTGAAGACTTTTGCAACCCTCCCGGACATGGGGGAGGTCATGACGACAAACAAACTAATCCCACCAGCCCTCTGGGCGTCGGTGGTTTAAGGCGTTTCCTCTTCCACCCCTCCTTCTTCCCCTTCGGGGAGGGGTTTACCCCTCCCCCTCCCCCCTCCCCATGGACCTGGACAAAGGGTTCCGCGAGTCGTCGGAGCGTCCGAAACGGCCTCGGCGAGGAAGCCAACATCATTGACTTTACTGAGGTTTTGGCCCCATTTTGGCATTCTGGGGGGGCGACGCTAATTAATGCTCCCCTCTTGTTTGATCGATCTCCTCCGAGATGGCCCCAAAAGCGCTCCCAAGGCTCCCAAGGGTGCTCCAAGAGGCCCCCAAGAAGCTCCCAAGAGACTCCCAAGAGGCCCCAAGAGCCCCCCCCAGAGGCACCCAAGACGCTCCAATAGGCATCGGCGAGAATGCTAAAACCATTGAGTTTACGTAGGTTTTGGCAACATGTTGGCCTCCTGGGTGGGGGGGCACTGATTAAGATGACTCCAACAGCGCCTGGGAGAGCCCAAGATGACCTCCAAGATGGCTCCAGATATCCCAAGATGCCTCAAGATGGCTCTCACGATGCTCCAAGAGGCCCCAAGACCGCTCCAAGACGGCTCCAAGTGGCCAAAGAGCTCCCCCAGGAGGCCCCGAAGAGGCCCAAATCATTCCAAAACCTTGAGGAACATCAATCCAAGAGCGCCCAGGAGGCCCCAACTGGCGCCGAAGAGGCCTCCAAGAGGCTCCCAAGAGACCCCCAAGAGGCCTCAAGAAACAATCGAGGCACCCAAGACGCTCTAAGAGGCGTCCGGGACCGCCAAGAGGACCCCAAGATGCTCCAAGAGGCCTCCACTGGGGGACCCTTCCTCTGTGTGTTGCCCACTTCCCTGATCGAGGCAACTCCTCTGGGCATCGTTTCTGGATGGGCTGGTGGGGTTACTTTTTTGTCGCGGCCGCAAGCGGAAGCGCAGGAGGCATCCGAAAAGGTCGGGCGGGCTACGCGCGAGCCTAATCATACAGCGACCGAGCGCGGAATCAGAACCTACCGCTGGTGGGGTTACTTTTTGGTTTGCGACTCCAAGGCGACGGACAGGGAGCGGGCACAACGTCCGGGGCGCATCTAGTGGGGTCACGCGAAGCGGCTAGAATTGAGAAGGGCCGCCAACCATTTGCGTTGCGCGTCCGGCTCCCTTCTCCTTTGGAGGCTGGAGCTGACGCCGCGCGCTGTCTTAGTGTGGCGTGCGTCCTGTCGTAGCAATACTGGCGGTCCGCCCTGGTGACCCGCCTGCGAGGAGCAGTCGCGCCCTCGAGGCTGGCGCGGCGCTCATACCGTCTTCTCTATCGTCGAGCGGTGGAATGGAGCGACGGCTGAAACTTCTGTCAAGAACGATGCTTGACCGCTCCGTCCCCCAGTATCCTTCGTAAGAAGTGAAATGATTTATGAAATCGTCGCCGTGCGAAGGTTGACGACGACCGCTGGATTTTTGGCTCAAGGTCGGAGGGCCTTGGACAACCTCTTGGATATTGAGCTGTTGGATTTACGGCTGTCTGCCGGACTTCAGGACGGACGAAACACCTACATCATATTGCTCACATCATATTGCTATTGATCTTCTCGTCGTCGATCTCATTAGCGTCGGGGTGTACTGCGATATGACCTGGCCGAAGCCGCAAGGCTCGCCCTGGAAGGCGGGGCTTCGGGCGTAAAAGACTGGAACAAGGATTTTTCGTCGGACGTCCACATAGTCTGTCTGATTCAATTGGGTGGGAGCGAGTTGGGGGGTCTATTGGGGGCATCTGGTTTCTTGGGGTTTCTTGAAAGCGTTTGGAAAGCCTCTTGGGGCCCTCCCTTGAGGCCTCGGAAGCTCATCCCAAGCGAAAAAAACGCCAGAAAAAGCTAAACTTATATGTCCATCGCTATTTGAAGGGTTTTGGTTCCTCGAGCGCTCGGTCGGGGGACTCTTTTTCAAACCTCTTGGGCGCTCTTGGGGCCAGTCGGCACTTATGAGAGCATATTGAGCCATGTAAGTAAGCATGTATGCATGCATGTATGTATGTATGTATGTTTGCACGCATGTCTGTATGCATGCATATGTACATACATACATACATACATCCATAAATGCATACACGCATGCATACATACACACAAACATACATGCAATTCCACATACGTGCACACATACATATATATATATATCTATAAGTATACACGTACATATATTAATATGATATATGTGTGTATTGACTATTATTCACGCGCTTCCCGAATTCAAACAGATGTATGTGTGTGTTGTTCTGCATTCGCTCTTCGCCTCGTAAGTTCAGCTCGTATCAAATTCAGTTAAAGTATACACTTGCTCCTGACGATGCCTGTAGGCTCCAAGAAACCAACACAAACATATGTAATTCACTGCGGACAAGGTCACTGGCGTCTACAGGAAATCGCAATTGTAGAGGACATGCCACACGATGGCCCACCACATCCCATTAGGTATTCAACCGCCGAATATTGCAGTAATCACTGTCGCGTATGCAACAACTTATCATGTGCTAACTGTTACGACACACACACATTTGAAAAAAGGATTTGCGCCACAACTGCCTGATATACTACGACACGCTCGCGATGAATCACACAGCTGGTCTCAGCTCTACACAGAAACAAGTGGCACGCGTGCCCTGGCTCTTGCACAGTCAGACAACGAAGGACGGGGCGAGGAAGACTAGCCACGAACCACCAACATAAAGGGTTCCGAGACCCAGGGGAGCTGCCCTGGGAGGCCCCGGGGAGCCAGGAGGCCAGGGGAAGAGGACGAACCAGGGGAGGAGGACGAACCACGAACCACGAAAATAAAGAGGTCCGAGCTCTAGAACACAGCTGTGCAAGATGATAACCTATTATGACTTCGTCCTGCGAGTACGCAACGCCCCGCGGCGACCGAGAGCCTCCCTCCCCCTCCTGCTCCCCCCCTTTCGGCGACGCCCTCCACCACTCCTCCTCCGTCCTCCTCCTCCTTCTCCTGCTCCTGCTCCTCCTCCTCCTCCTCCGTCCTCCGTCCTCCGTCCTCCGTCCTCCGTCCTCCGTCCTCCGTCCTCCGTCATCCTCCTCCTCCTCCTCCTCCTCCGTCCTCCGTCCTCCTTCTCCGTCCTCCTCGTCCTCCTCCGTGTCCTCCTCCTCCTCCGTTTCCTCGTCCTTTTCCTCCTCCAATTCCTCCTCCTGTTCCTCCTCCTCCTCCTCCTCCTCCTCCTCCTCCTCCTCGCCTGCCTCCCCCCCGCCCTTCCCGCGACCTCCGCCTTCCAGGGACGGGCGGCCCAGCCCTCTCCCGCGCCCGGGCTACAGCTCGCGGTCCGCCGCCGCGCCAGCGCGGGCCCGCTCGGTGACGCTCGTCCGGGAGCTCCGGAGGCCCGTCTGCACCAGGCTGACGCCCTGGCGGGGCGAGGGGCAGCGGAAGGTCGCGCCTTCCAACTCCTCCTCCTCCTCCTCCTCCTCCTCCTCCTCCTCCTCCTCCTCTCTCCTCCTCCCGCCTCCTCATCCTCCTCCTCCTCCTCTCATCCTCCTCCCTGTTCCATCTCCTCCGTCTCCTCCTCCGTCTCCTCCTCCGTCTCCTCCGTCTCCTCCTCCTCCTCCTCCTCCTCCTCCTCCTCCTCCTCCTCCGTCTCCTCCGTCTCCTCCTCCTCCTCCTCCTCCTCCGTCGACGGCGGCGACCCTCCGCGGCGCTCGCTGTCCGCCGTCGGCGGTCGTCGCCGTCGGGGGCCAGCAGCAGCAGCAGCAGCAGCAGCAGCAGCAGCAGCAGCAGCAGCAGCAGCAGCAGCAGCAGCAGCAGCTCGAGATCAGAAGCCCCTTTCGTGCCCCTTTCGGGTCCCTCCAGAGCCCCAGGGGGCTCGTTTAGGTACCGTTTGGGTACCTTTTCGGACCACACTCGCCCCCCCCCCCATTCAAGATCCCCCATTACGCAGCGCCCAACCATCGCTCTCCTTGGGCCTGCCGGGATCCGCCGTCGCAGATGCGTCGCCGACGCGGCGCGATCCCCCAAGGAACTCCCGCAGTCGAGGCGGCGGTCTGTGGCCGCGCGCGACGGACGACGGTCGACGCACGACGACGGCGGCGGCGGCGGCGTCGACGACGACGAGGGCGGCGGCGACGAAGGCCTCGACGACGGCGGCGGCGGCGGCGGCGCGCCTGCGTGCGCGCGGGGCCCTGCGAACCCCGGAAGCTCGCGCGCGCCGCCCCTGGGCCGCCCCCCGGCGCGCGGAGGGCCGGCCGCAGGTCTTGGAGCGCCAGGCCGCCGAAGCCGCCCTCCAGCAGGCTCGCCGCCCTCTCCTCGTCGGCTCAGAGGTGGGGCCGTGCGCGAGGGGCGACGACGTTCGAGGCTCGAGGCTTTCTGACGCGTGCGCGGGCAATCCACGGTTTTCCAGCCTCAGGGCGCCTTCCATCAGCCTTCCATCAGCTGCGCCTCGCCGAGGGCGTTCCAGGGCGGATCGTCCCGAACGGCCTCCGGAGAGCCGAATTGTGACCGGAAGCCCACGGGGCAACGATGAGGGGGGACTGGCTCAGGCGGGTAGGTATCGAGCTGGAATCGGCGATGCACCGCCGATAGATCGGCGAGAGGCCCCCAGCAGCGAATCCGCACGTGCCTGGACGGGGTGGGCCATCGTGACCCCATCGGCGATCCATGGGCACTTTGGGGTCAGTGCGCCCCCCCTGAACCGAAGTATCCCCGCCCCCGAAGTGCACCCTGACTGAGGCACTGGGCCCTCGAGGAGAGGCATGGACTCCAGGCTGCACTTGCACTGCCTGGAGGCCCCTCGTCCTCCTCAGGGCCCGCCTCCCTCGGGGCCTCGGGGCCCTGCCTTTGAGCCGCCGATCTCCCGCACGGCGCCGAAGTCCGGCGCGCGCTCGGCCGCTCGCGCGCTGCCTGCGCCCGCCGGCGGGCCGTCGGGCGCGGCCGCGGGGGCGCCGCCGAGCAGCGGCGTGCTGAGCACCAGCTGGCGGCGCGGCACGCCCCGCGAGGCCCACTCGTCGAGCGCCGCGTCGGCGCCGCGCCCGCCGAGGCCGCCCGCACCGTGCGCGCGCACGGCCAGCCAGTCCGCCAGGCGCCCGGCCGTGGCCCCGTCGGGGAACTCCTGGCGCCCCTGTGCCACGGCCACGCTGAGCAGGGCCCCCCAAACCAGGACATGGCCAACCGCGTCGCGACGCTGCGAGCTCCACTTGGAGGGAGCGAATCATGGAGGATTTGTCGATTCACGCTGCAGTTTTCGCGGGCGCGCCGGTGCCGTGGTTTGTCACAAGGCCTCCGCTTAGGGGGCCCCGAGCTGAGGGTCCAGCCGCCCCCGCGGGCGAGCCCTGACTTGAGCACGGCGGAGAGGTCCCGGCACAAGAGGGCGAGGTGGTACTGCTCCATCGGGTCGAAGGGCGCGGACGCCGGCTTGCCGCCCCCGGGGTCCTCTGAGTGCCACTCCACCTCGAGGCCCTGGGCGCCCCAACGCAGCAGGTGGTCCGCGGCCTGGAGCGCGAAGTTCTCCCTGGCCGTGTCGTTCTCCGACAGCTCGTCGAGCGCGACGTCGTCGCCGAGGCCGCGCAAGCTGACCACCAGGCGCAGCGGCAGAGCCGCGAGGCGCTGGATGAGCGGCAGCCCGGCGAGGTCGGTTGTCGAGGAGGCCGGCCGATAGTGGAGCTGCCCGGTCCTGACAGGAAGCTTGCCGGGAGAGGGGGGGGGCCCAAGGGGGGATGGAACCTCCTCCGCCTCATCGTCGCTCCGTGCTCCTCCGCTCCCCGCCTCCCCCCCCCCCGCTTGCCCGTGTCCTCGGTCTTTCGCCCCTCCGCGCTCCATCTCCCTGCCTTCCTGTCCTCCTGCCTGTTTGCTCCTCGCTCTCTTCTCGCCCTCTCGGATGTCGCCTCTCTCCTGCGTCCTCCCCCATCTCCTTTCTCCTCCCCTCCAGGGCCCCCCTTCCGCGCCCCACGTTCCATCCTGCAGCTCATCCCTTCCATTCCTTCCTCCTAACTCCCTCATCCCTGTCTCCCTCATCCTTTCCTCCGCTTTCATCCCTCCCTCCTCCCTCTTCCTCCTTGTGCCTTTTCATTCCTTCCGCCCCGCCTCCCACTTCCCTTTCCCTTCTTCTTCCTTCTCCTCTTCTCCTGCTCTCCTCCTTTCCTTCGCAGACGTGGACTCGGACTTGCCATGCAAGCGGCCAGCGGGGGCTCGGCAAGCTGGCGCGGTGACGCCGCCCTGCTGCACGATTCAAGGGACTATCAATCAATGTGACACTGGATGACAGTGAAACGTGCCAGGTGGCATATCTTTAGCAGGAGAAGGATGCAGGGAGGCCCGCGACGCGTCCTGTCGACCTTCACCGCGTTTCTGACGACGAGGTGCGTCAGGTTTCGGCAAGGGATCACCTCAAACAGGCCATGCGTGCGATGGGAGGCGAGAGGGAGGGTGGGAAACGGTGGATGCTCTCAGCGCAAAGAACAGAAACATAAGGGAACTCTGTAATAACTTCATCTCCAGCGTGGACAACAACCAAAATTAATTACTGCACTTTCGATGTGCACCTTTTGTGCTGCTTCATATGGGGTTACAATACTTGTTGATGAACTTGAAATTGCGCCAACTCCAATACTCGAACACACACACACACATCCCTCGGACCCATCCGCAACTTCTTTGGAAAACTTCACTTGCGTAATGACGCGAGGATCACAACAGATCCATGACTCGGGCGGGTGGGTGATGATGGTGGGAGCATTGGCGGACGACGACGACGACGGCGTGGCGGCGATGATGACAAGGGCGGCGACAGCGACGACGACGACGAGGTGATGATGGCGACGACGATGGTGATGAATATGGAGGCAATGATGGTGAAAATAGAAGCCCAGCGGTGGAGAGAGGCACCGCTTTGGGGGCGTTCGCTCTATATGTCGGAGGGGGACGGGAGGGGAGAGTGCTGGGTGCTAGCATTCTGCTCGCGCGTCGTTGTCAAAGTGGCCGTGCCTCCAATAGTTGAACATGTGCGTGACCTTCGACTATCAACATGTTCCGCTGGCTGCAAGGAAGCCTCAAGGTGGCGCCAGAATATCGCAAGAGGCCCCGAGATGGGTTCAAGAGCCGAAGACCCCCCCCGAGAAATCACAAATCAATGAAACGTACATTGTTTTCCATACTCCCCTGGGCTCCAGCCAAGCCGACCTTGAGCAACCTCGTAATTGAGTCGAAGGGAAGCCCCTTCCCTTTGATCCCTCCCCCGCCGGGAGGGGGGGGGGGGTAGCGACCCCCCCCCCGGGTCAGATACGACGCCCCCCCCTGGGACTCCTCTTCCCCTGGGCTCCAGCCAAGCCGACCTTGAGCAACCTCGTAATTGAGTCGAAGGGAAGCCCCTTCCCTTTCATCCCTCCCCCGCCGGGAGGGGGGGGGGGTAGCGACCCCCCCCCCGGGTCAGATACGACGCCCCCCCCTGGGACTCCTCTTCCCCTGGGCTCCAGCCAAGCCGACCTTGAGCAACCTCGTAATTGAGTCGAAGGGAAGCCCCTTCCCTTTGATCCCTCCCCCGCCGGGAGGGGGGGGGGGTAGCGACCCCCCCCCCGGGTCAGATACGACGCCCCCCCCTGGGACTCCTCTTCCCCTGGGCTCCAGCCAAGCCGACCTTGAGCAACCTCGTAATTGAGTCGAAGGGAAGCCCCTTCCCTTTCATTCCTCCCCCGCCGGGAGGGGGGGGGGGTAGCGGGGGGGGTAGCGACCCCCCCCCGAGTCAGATACGACGCCCCCCCCCCGTACCGACCTTGAGCAACGTCGTCATTGAGTCGAAGGGAAGCCCCTTCCCTTTCCCTTCCCCGACGGGGGGGGGAGAGGAGGTCCCGGGGGGGGTCCCGGGGGAGTCCCGGGGAAGTCCCGGGTCAGATACGACACCTCCCTCCCCCACCTTCTCGTCCTTCTCCCCGTTCCCCCAAACCATCCCACAGCCCGTGCCTCTTGCTGCGCATTGCGAACAGGGTCGGCGGCACCGGCCGTCAGGCCTTCGCAATCAATGAAACGTACATTGTTTTCCATACTCACTGTATTTCCAACGGTGACCGTCAAAATCGACTCCATATCGATATCTTTGTGTGAGGCCGGTGTCTTGTAGTTGCGCTGGGGCAAACTTGTCGAGGCATCTGGCGAATAAAGGGTGACATCATTCGTCTTAACAGGGGGGCACGCTGCCGACTTGTCAATGGGCGCAAACTATTGCAATGCGCATTCACGTGACGCTGCAACAAACAGTCACAAGGTTACACAGGCGATGCAGACACAGCGGGCTCGCTCCTCAGGCATCATATTGTTATAATTCGCTTGCCCAACGGGCCCGAGGCGGTCAATCATCTTCTGAAACAGATTTCGATTGTCATAGTTAGTTCGCGCACGTGGCGGCCCTTGAGGGGTGTCCCAGCGCGTCAAGTACCCCGGGCGTTCCCCGGGCAAGTCTTGAGCAAGTCCCAGGCGATCGGTTTAACAGATACCTGAATCCCCGGGGGCGGTCTTCAAGGCCCCGCATGCCTTCAAGATAGCGTCAAATACAGCTCCAAGAGGTCCCGAAGAGACCAAAACTCATTGATTCTGCGTAGGGGTTTGGAAGATTTAGGCGTTACCTTTTCAGTCTTCCGACCGCCCAAGACGGCCCATTCAGCCCCCAAGATTGCGACAATTCAGATCAAGACGCCCAGAGGACGGTCACGAGACGGCCCAAGAGGGCCCCGAGACGGCCCCAGAGGCCTCCCAAGAAGCTTCCCAACCCCCCAACAGTGTCCGAAGATGGAACCCCGAACTTAATTCCGAACTCTTTCCCGACACATGGCCCCACACATCGCCTGAAAGCCGCCAAGAGGGCCCCAAGAGCCCTCCAAGATGCTCCCGAGAGGCCCTCAGAGGCCCTCAAGACCCCCCAAGAGGCTCCAAGAATCGTCCAAGATGTCCCCACCAACCCACGAGGCTCCAAAAATGCCCCCGCGAGCACGCAGGCAATAATTAACCACGCTACTATGGATTCCCAAGAGGCTCCCACGACGGCCTCAAGAAGAGTCCAAGAGGGGCGCAAGGGGGGAACACGAGCAGCCATGCCGAGCCCCGAGACGCCCAGGACTGCTCACGCAAAGAAGCTAACATCACCCATCAACGCCGCAGTGGCAGCGAACACGCGGGTGAGCGCCCTCGGCGGAATAGTCTGGGCCGGCGGAAGGAGCGAAGCGATTGAATCCGCCGACCCCCACTCGCCAGGGGTGAACAAGAAACGCGTGCGAGACGTTTTGCCGTCCCCCTCCCCCTTTCCCCCTTCCGAGGGATCCAACCTCCAGTCCAAGGAGGGCGGGGGCACAGGCTCGCCAGCGCCCCCCCCCAAAGCCTCGAGAGAGCCTCCAACGCGCCCCCAAAAGGCCCGAGAGGGCCCAACCGAGACAGTCCAAGAGAGCATCGAGACGGCCCAAGGTAACCCCACGACGGTCCAAGATGGCTTCAAGCGAGCCCACGAGGCCCCCAGGACGGCCCAATAGTACCGCCGAGAAGGCCCCAAGATGCAACCATTGCCCTATTCCCGTGGGAAAACGTGCGTTGAGAGCGTCCATTGCGGCCCAAGGGGCCCCCAAGATCGTCCCCGGATGGCCCATGAGGCAGCCCCAAGATGGCCCCAGGACAGCCCAACGGTCCCCTAAGACGGCCCTCGAGGGCCCCAAGGAAGGCCCAAGAGGAGCAATCTGAACTGACATCTCAAGCATGTCCCATAGGCATGGCCCCCGGTCTCTAAGAGGACCCCAAAAGCCTTCCAAGAGGCCCCTGAGAGTCATTCCAAAGAGACCACCACATGCATCCTGGAGGCTCTTCCACAAAGCTCCCAACCAGCCCCACGAGCCCGCCAGGAGCCGACAAAAGGCTCCTCAGAGCCTCAACTGGAAGCCTCCCAGAAGCCCTCAAGCAGCCCCGTGATAAACCAACAACCCCCCTTGCACACCTCCCTCCGCCCTCCTCCTCCTCCTCCTCCTCCCTTCCTCCCTCCGCCCTCCTCTTCTTTCCTCCCTTCCTGCCCCTTCGCACCCCTTCTTTCCTTCCTCCCTCCGCCCTCCTCCTTCGCAACTCCACTCCTTCTCCTCCTCCTCCTCCTCCTCCTCCTCCTCCTCCTCCTCTTCCTTCTCCTTCTTATAAACAACTCATCCCAGTCGCACCCCGAGGCAGGCCGAAAGGGCGGGCTGGGCGTTTCGCCTGAAGCTTCCTCACCATTTGTGGCCCTAAAGCTTAAACGTTGACAATAGTTTCGCGGATTGAGGGCTGGTGGTTTTTAAACTGTGGCTATCGCCTTAACGCCGAGCGCACTCGTGTAAACTTTGCAAGATCTTCATGGATTGAGGGCGGGTCGTTTTCAAAAAGCGGCTCTCGCCTTAATGCCTCGCACATTCGTGTTTAAAAATTGCAGAGCGTTTCACGGACCGCCGGGTTTCAACATGTGGCTCTGCTTCGCGCCGCGCACATTCGCTTTTTTCCTTCTGTAGAAATGCAAAAGGTTTCACGGATTGAGGGCGGGCCGTTTTCAAAATACGGCTCTCGCCTTAGCGCCGCGCACATTCGTCTTCAACACTGCAAGAGCTTCATGGATCGAGGGCGGTTCGATGTTAACATGTGGCTCTCGCCTTGGCGCCGCGCGCGCTCGTTTGAGACTTTCCAAGAACACCAGCAGCGGTGTTTTCGACCGATTCTTGATCGCCAGGGTGCAACGGTTACGTCGACTCGCTGTGCTGAAACCCCAGGAGTGGTAATCTAGCACGACTCAGGGCCGCCAAGACTTCACAATCAGATTCGCTCGTGGCGTTGAAATCCCGAGACTGGTGTTCGGGTACCGTTCAGGATTTTGAACGGCTGCCCTCTAACGGGGCAATTCCCTCAGTGGAAATGAACCCTTGTTAGGGGCCTATGAAGAGAGCGCTTGGAGGGAGGGTGTATTCCAAGATCGCTGATCAATCTTAGGTTTGCACTGGTCCTCCTCCTCCTCCTCTTCCACCCTCGCGGGCGTGAAACAAAAACACCCAGCCACTCCAACTCCAACATGGCCTACCGAACGCCCGCTCGGGGTCGGCGGAATGGCGTAAGCCACTTGAACGATCAATGGTACAAAAGCTCATCGGAACATGTATGGCATAGTTGAACATGCGATCCTCACTGGGTGAACCACGTCAGGCCATTGCCAAACAACACTTTCAACGTCAACTAGTCGAGGCATCTGGAGACACCCGTGTGCAGTAACAATAAAACGAATGCCCGGGGGTTCCGGACTGCAATCGGCATTCATGTGGACCTATCACAGGCACCTTGAAGGCTACACAAGCGATGCAGATGCAACTGGGTCGTTCCTCAAACATCCGATTGTCGTTACCAATGA